ATTATATGAAAAAAAATGAGAAGTGGATTTATAGATACTTGGTTGGTGCAGATTTTTGTAAGCAAAACTACCCACACTACACTGCAAGCTTGAGGACAAACCACGCTTCGGTAGCTCTCAACGTGAAGATATTATTGCGTCAGATGTCCATATGGCCGGTTGCGAGTCATCGTGAACTGCATTTTCTCCCAGACCATCGGCGAGGTGCAAGTGGCTGCTGGTAGCAAAGAGGCTACATCCTCTCGCACTGTTCCGTGCCTGCCGACAAGATGAATTGGCGTTTGACGAGCAGCGTGTGTAGCAATCGCTGCAGGTCCAACACAATGGACATCAGTCGGAAATTCGCAGTCTAATCACCAGCCACACCGTGTACAAACCGTCGTAGTAGCTACCGCGCATGATTGTTGTTGCCGCTGACGCTTCGTGTTCACATCGGTTAGGGAATGCAGCGGCCAGTGTAGCAACGGTATCGCTCCAAACGGGCAGCATGTATGACTGACGTTCGGCGCCCATGTAGCGTTAGCATCGTACAGCGTGCGGACCGGCGTGGCGACAGCGACTTGTCGGCGTTAGCAACTTATGTGTGGACCAGCGTGACGACAGCATGGGAATCGAGCAGCATTTCCACCAGAGATTTTGGTGGTGTCAGGCAGCGTGCAATGGTAGTGACATCGGTCAGTGTCAGGCGGCGGGTGGGTTAGCAGAGATGGGTGGGGGCAGTCGGTATGAACCCGAGTGTTCACAAGAAAGGAAATTGCGGAATGAGACTCGTTGGGGCTTGGCGCGCGCTCGACGCCCCCGCACGCGAGTTTGAATCGTTGACCCTCCAAAGCGGCTTGTTTCGCGCCAAAACATTGCGAGCTTCAATGTTGAAGTCACGTTTTCGCCGGTGTCCTCGGTTTGACCAATCAAATAGCATTCCGATGATTCTAGCAGTCTGATTGGCTAGCAAAGTGATCTTTAATATACGCGTATGGCTACCTATTTCGATTATGGGTAGTACCTATTTTTGCTAAGAGGACCAATTACCTTGCAGTAGTTATACCCGACAGCGTATGCTCCTTTGTCGGGTCCGTTTTGACGTAGAAAAGCGTACCTGAGGAAATGTAAGCCAGTAGTTCTGTGGCTGTGCGCTTCAAGACCACATCCTCAAAAAAGGTAATCCTAACTTTGATCCTGGAGGTAGTAGTTAGATCTCTACCACAGCATGTCGTTCGCCAATTTGTGTAGTATTATGCTCTGGGTTTTACAATGACATCAGAAATAGTTTTTAGGCATCGTTTGCTACAATTGCTCATTATGTACTTTGGTTTAATTGCTAAATGGTTAAACTTGTTTTTATCCATTATTTCTCGTCGTCATGTGTTTTATAGCCAGGAGTTCTCGAAAACTACAAGAAGAATTGCTAATGCAAACGTTGATTTTTGAAAATTGAAGCAGCGACTGAGACTTCATTTATTTCATGAACTCAGATGCACTTAGAGGATTCTCGACAAGCTGCTTACCGTAAATCAACGACTACGTCAATGTCGACGTTGTATCCGCAATGATGTCACCCATAGCGGCAGCATTCGTAGTAGCTACAGCAGGCATCATCAGAGCTGAAACGGGGGCAGGAGCAGCGACTGGGACAGCAACTGAGAAGGAATAGCTGCAGGAAGTGATGCACGCAACAGAACCACCACGTGACCTGCCAATGCACCCTTGTTACCACTTCTCGCAGCCGAAATCATACCCGCAACGTTGGACAGCAAAGCCGGGTTGGTCGCGATACTCTATAGACATCCGAAAATGTGCTCGGTCGTCATGGGACTGGTTGAGTTAGCTTCCGTACTCATAGCAATTATGTCCTTAATAATTTGTGCGAGCTGAATACGATCATTCGGTGACAAGAAAAATGTTGCTCCTTGTGACGTAGATGCTGTTACTGGTTGGCAGCCATCATGTTTCTCAGAACCCCGTAAACCAGAGTTCGTGCCTTGATCGGAGTCCATTACGATACGGACGTTAAAGACAGCAAACAGGCCACAACAGCGAGAGCAATCGACGCTTCCATCGGTGGGCTATACGTCCTGCTCTTCAAACTAGTTTCCGTAGAACTGGAGCCAGAGATGGCGGTGGTGCATCGTGGTCCACCCCACGAATGATACATTCATTCGCAACGCTACTTGAACAATTTCCAAGTCTTTAGAGCCGTTCGACTCAAAGTGCCACCAATCGTGCAGTCGTCGCTGGTCTCGCAGAACGCCTTGCCAGCCACTTCCTCCCACTTATTATCATTATCTTCGTACTCGTCGATGTGGGCTTCAATCCATTCTTGAGTCGGATGACTCGCTGGATCACAACCAACTTGCATGTAATTATCAGCTTCGAGATCCGTCGCCAAGTCCTGATACAGACGGATGTGGTCGATCTTCATGTACATCGGGAACGAGTCGCAGATAACGTTCGTCACAGGATCTTTTCCATCACCACGACATTCCTTGCCTGGGTTGGGCGGCGTCGCACACCAAGAACTGGACAGCGACACGTTGAAAATCACATACAAAGGCTCCTATTTCTTCGGGTTGTTCTTTTTCGCATTCTGCAGGACGTTGACGATCGAATCCGTCGTGACTTCGAACAGAGGCTCGCCGTGAAGCATCCAGCGTACATATCCATTCTTGCCTGTAACCCACTCCACTTGGTAGTCGTAGAAACCCGTGTACGCGCCGAAATATAGGCCAATTTCGACGAGATTGCATCAATCTGATAGTTAAATGCACTAATCGCATTGGACTTGGGTGTAGTGGACTCATTGCGAGGACTGGCACACTTGGAGAACATATTGTCAGGATCACACAAGTACGAGCCCATGTACGAGTTGATCAGCGGATAACACGTGCCGTTCGAGTTAATTCCCCAGTGATCTTTCCCTTTGCCGACAATCAGACTCAATTCAGCATTCACATCGCCTGAAGCTGGACATGTATCCACAGCACAAGTGTTCTCGGTAATACCAGCTTTCACTGACGCTGCAAATGTGGCGTAGTCTTGTTTCTCCTCTGCGTTCTGCTTGCAATAGTTGTTGGCAGCGTAGCGTAACCCTTGATACCAGGATTTGTGACCACGTTCCTTCCCGTAATAAGCTGTTGGTACGTCGATATAATTTGCTCCTGGTGTTAAGCAGTGTAGGAGTACAAACAGTAGCTGAAGTCTCCAGTTGACGTATCCACAGGGAAAAGTCGTAGTCGTCTGGTATTCCTGGTGCAATTTGCGGAGAAGATGAAATAGCCAACCCTCCGCCATCCAGAACATCGATCTCAGGAGCTCCACGACCTTGGTTGGGGTTCAAACCGTAGCCTGGATTGTCGTCACACGCACTGATCCGTTGGAAACTCGGGTTAAACACGTCGGCATCGCATTCATCATACGAGTACGGCCATATGCGGTTCGTCGAAGCGGAGAAATAACTCGCCCGAGGTTCCCAAGCATCCAAATTCCTGGCCACGTCGGATAAAATTTGTTGTTGGCGACTTTTCCAGCCTTTCCTAGAGCGATATCGGGGTTGCCTGACTTACAGGAAGTAGCTCTCGGAAGTTGTGCTCGTACTTCTAACATCCCTCCTTGGTAGCAGAATTTATTCCAAGATTTGACCATTGTACCTCGGTAGAAAAAGTTGACGTCTGTGAAGCTTGGGAGGTGAGTATACATGTTGTATACATGGCTAGAATTGACCTCATCGACAGTTTTGATGAAGAAGCAGCAGGTTCCGTCGTCATCGCACTTGGTAGGCGTCATATTGTGCGAATAAAGCTCCAGAGCTCCATTGACACCGTCGGGTTTCTCCAGAGGAGTCCAGATATGATCATCTCCAGCTCGGAAGCTGCGGTTGGCCACATTGAACTCGTCCGAGGTCCCATCGTCGACCACGGGAACTATGGTCGGCTGACACGAACGACACCAAATAGACAAGTGCACAACGATCGCAGTAATTGACATCTTCATCTTGTAACTTGGACTGGGCGGCAGTGGATGAGTCGACTGGAGCGCTTGAATTCCAATCGAACGGTGCCAGAGGAATGAGGTCTTGTATCTGACACGAAAATTAGAGTGGGCTAAATCGTAGGAGACTGCCTATCCAGAAATACGTAGAATTCTGGGTACCTGCGTCAGTACTGCATAGAATCTGATACAAAAGAAAATCGTACGCTTAACAACTTTCTCGGCTGAATTTCCGGAGAGTTAGGGATACTAGATCACATCATACGACTGAGGACGCTCAGGTTCCGATACATCCGAGGCATCCGCAGTATGCGGGATGGACATGTGCTTGACGAAGCGTTCGTATCACCCGGAAGTTAAGATTGCCTAAGGACCCTGTCTCAGTCATCGAGAATTAG